GCTCCAAGGGCTCGATGAAAGCAGCATCTGCGGCTATTTTTATTTTGCACGGGTGGATTCTTATTCTGTTTCTTTGTTCTTTTAAATGTGAATGTACCGTAAACAGCTCCCGTGCAATCGGTTGTTTTGCTTCTCCCCAGGAGAGACCTTGAGCCTGCTCAGGTTTTGCCATGGGCTTTGGGAATGGTCAAAAAGCGAAGGAACTCAGAGAAAGGGTTTGCAGGAAGGACTTGAGGAAATATGTTGTCATGGAGGTTTTGAGAAGCAAAAATGCAGAGCGGATGCAGGCTGAGACATGGAAAAAGGAGGAAAAGAGCTTTGAGGAGAAGAGATTTAGGGAAAACAAGGTCTGTGACAAACAGCACTGAGGTTTTGGGGGAGGATTAGGAGCTTTTTGTCTTTTTAGTGACCGCAGGAGCATCCTGGCAAAGCCCTAGGAGGGAGAAGGACCTGGCCAGTCCCTGGTGCCGTTGGGTCTCAAGGTGTTCTTGACCTTGCTGGCTACCTTGCTGGTGGAGTTGAGGGACGTGCTTGTCCCTGGAGGGCATCAGGGATGGCAGAAGCTGTTGGTGATGCAGGTACGTAAGCACCATCCCTTTCCTACAGGCTTTAAGAGCCGCCCTGTGTATGTTGGGGAGATGAGGAGGGGTGGCTTCTCTGCTTTGGGCTGGGGGACGTGGTGGCTCAGATGGGTTGGAATCCCAGAATCCCAGCATGGCAGGGGTTGGAAGGGACCTCGGGAGCTCACCCAGCCCAAACCCCCTGCTCAAGCAGGCTCACCCAGAGCAGGGGGCACAGGACAGCGGCCAGGCGGGGGTTGAAGATCTCCAGAGAGGCACCAGGGATGGCAGAAGCTGTTGGTGATGCAGGTACGTAAGCACCATCCCTTTCCTACAGGCTTTAAGAGCCGCCCTGTGTATGTTGGGGGATGAGGATGTATGTTGGGGGATGAGGATGTATGTTGATGTATGAGGAGGGGTGGCTTCTCTGCTTTGGGCTGGGGGACGTGGTGGCTCAGATGGGTTGGAATCCCAGAATCCCAGCATGGCAGGGGTTGGAAGGGACCTCGGGAGCTCACCCAGCCCAAACCCCCTGCTCAAGCAGGCTCACCCAGAGCAGGGGGCACAGGACAGCGGCC